CCCGGTGTCTCCCGTGTCGGCGGGGGGGAGGAAGCACCCCCTGCGCTGCCGGAGGCAGCAACAGTGGGGGAGGCACCCCGCACTAGCTGCGCCCCCCCCCCATTCGTAACTAGGGGCCCGACTTAAGTCGGATTGACATAACCCGGGGACTGCCTGTATAGCACTCTACCTAGAAGTAATTGTCACACATACTTCCACTAACAAAAAAACAAAAATATAATGGCAATTTTAAATTACAGTTTGGACTCAATTAAGCAAATCAGGAATTCCAACTATCATACCAACAGGTATTTTTCATGAATTTCTAAACTAGGGGCCCGACTTAAGTCGGATTGACATAACCCGGGGACTGCCTGTATAGCACTCTACCTAGAAGTAATTGTCACACATACTTCCACTAACAAAAAAACAAAAATATAATGGCAATTTTAAATTACAGTTTGGACTCAATTAAGCAAATCAGGAATTCCAACTATCATACCAACAGGTATTTTTCATGAATTTCTATTTATTTTATATGGATTTATTTTTGTATGCTGTGGAAAGGAAAACATTTGAAGAGACCTCCCAGACCTACACACACAGGTCCTTATCTTGCAAAGTCCCAACAAGCACAAGTAACTTTACATAGTGCCAACAGTCACACAGAAGCTAACAGAGTACAGTTTCCAAGATCAGGAATTTAGTTCATAGATGAAGAGGTTACCAGACTATTTCAGCCACTTTTGAGGGGGAGGGCTTAATAGGATAAGGAATTTAATCTTACATATGACAGTATTTTTATTCAAGAAGATAAAGTCCTAACCGATAATGTGTCATCTGCAATTGTTACGTATTACTTATCTCCCTCCTTCAAAACATTATGAAGAAAATTCGTTATTCAAGAGTCTTAACACTTACATTTTAATCATCTTTCACTCTACTGTATTGTAAATGTAATTTATGTGTTGTAACTTCACCATAAGTTATTCTTGAGTATATTCCCAGTCCTTTCATGCATTGGACTCCACTTTTTCTTAGAGAAACCTAACCCTAACCTTTTGACATTCATGTGCCCACATTCTAAGAGCTGTGTTCTGTACAGTTACTAGTCACAGACAAGCTCTGTTAAGAAAGAGGATCAACAATATCACTTTCTTTAATGACATAGTATTAAAACCAAGCTATTTTAGTCAGCCTAAGAAAGTTTGAGGGACAACGGCTTTTTTTTCCCCAAATACCAAAGTACAGTTCTACACATCTGTTGTTATAGCCCATCATTACTAACTTTTGTTTCCACCTTTCTAACCATGGACTTCATAGAGATAGAATAGGAACAGTAAGAGCAGCAAAGCTCCTATCTTTCCTGTTTTCGTAGAACTCCTACATTTTTTTCTTGTTTTGAGTCCTATAATATTCCCTCTTCCTGCCTCTCATCTACTCAGAGGGAACAACAGATTGATCAGGAATAATGAAGGGAATAATGAAGGGGCCCAAGCCAGAAGGTAGGAGCAGTACAATAGCTAAAAAAAATTGCTTCAGGTTTTAATTGTTTAATTTAAAAATTAATTTTCTTTGTCAAAGTTAAAATGTAGAAACAATCTAAAGTCCTCAAGCCAATGTTCTTTCCAATTCTTTCCCCTTTCTCCCCACCTCACACAAAACTCACTTTAAGTGTTCTAAACTTACCAATAGTTGAAAATTGCTTCCTTTAGTAAAGATAAATGCCACGAGGTGTCATGGTATACCACACATGTTTTAATGAAAAGAGGGAAAGTGTTTCTGGTAATAGGCTTTGAAAGGTTCATCAACTGTACTGTAACTGGAAAGGAAGAAGAAAAGAAAAATAATCTTACTTCTAAGCTATTTAAAAGTCAGTACACTTTAAGTCAGATACATGCTATGACTTCCATAATTAAAGAAAGCCAAGGCTGGAAGTTGTCTTATAAGTAAATAAAAAGAATGAACGTACATTAAACTGGTATACCTACTAAATAATTAAAAATACTCTTACATTTCCCAGCTCATGAAGAGAAATTTTCTTGAACTACCATCTAAAAATGTTTATGTCTAAAATCAGCTACATAGGAAGCAAACTTATTAATTTTGCAGGTAATTTTAAAAATACGGATTCCAGTCTTAATTAAGGATTGCATACTATAAACGAACATGTGTTGAGCAGATCTCATTATGAAAGAAATCTTGACCTCAATGCTTCCAAACCCATTTCAATACAGGAACTGAATCTTTATAATATTAAAGAAGTGGCCTCACAGCTTTCACAAGAAACCAAAAGAGTATTTCTATATATGTTACATAGAAGTTTCTTCTGTCTGAAGTGTGACACACAAAGTCAGATACATTAAAATGCACTGACATTATAATAAAATGGAATACAGTTACTACAGTGATCAGGAAAAGGAAAAATCTACAGTACAAAACTTCAGACTTCCACCGCACAGGATAATAGTGCAGGAAGCTGCCTAGTCATCTCAACAAACTATATGCCCCAAAAGTAAGCAGTGTGGACATTAAACACACACATGTTTACTTTTGTACTGTTGTACTTTACATTTTCATTACACCATCTATCAACGCATTTGAATAGTCTTAATAAGCATTAATTTAACCTAACACCACCCTCATGAGAGCTCTCTAAAATGGAGATTTTTGCTAAGGCAACTTAATTGACAAAGCTTAAAACAATCTGTCCAGTACCATACAGGAAGCCTGCAGGGAACCTGAGTTCTATTCCCATCCCCACTGACTCCCAGATCAAAAGACAATGCCATCTTCTTTTTAGCCCAAATTACAGTTACAGGAAACCACTGCACAAGCACATTAAATGAATTGTTGCCCTTTAGCAATTTGAGAACCTTTTGAAAAAAAATAGCAAGGATATGAAAGGCGGTACAACTTAAGATACCTAACTGAACTTAAAGAAGCTGGGTTGTGGGCTTTTTTTTTTTTTTTTTTAAACAGCTAGACAAAACTTTTTTAAAAAAACCCCACAAAAATTACTTTAGCCAGGACCTCTGTATATTCCACTTGATAATACTGCTGATACTTATGTCTGGATGGCATCCTCCCTCCCAGCTCACCAATTAAAAAAATCAGTCTTTTGTGACACTAGAAGTTACCATGATGTATAAACCTCTCTCGACTTCAAAATGTTTCAGTTTGAGAAAACAATGTAGAACACAATTTCCCCCTTGTTATTTCTCCTCTTATCCCCCTCTTTCTGTATTCCCTTTGTACTTCACTTCTAATTCATTTTCTTGTGTCCTCCTCCCACCTCTATTCATTCCCCTCCCTTCTCTCCATCTCCTTCCCCCACCATCCATGTTACAGGAATATTGCTTATGCAGCTCTCATCTTGCCACATCTATGCTCCTTCAGTTTGTAAGGTATGTAGCAGAGACAGAACAGCAGCTCCATCAGTGCTCACACCACTGGGCTTGTATCACAGAGGAAAACCGGGGAAACAACAAATGAAGCATCTGAAAAACAGGATACCTTATAGGATGCTTGAGAAGAATGCCGATGTCAAGCCCTCAAAAGCAAGTCAAACAACAACTAGAACACTAGCAGGAATCCCAGCATTAAAGACTGCACCTCACCAGATATTGCTCCTAAAGAGTGAGATCTCTTCACCCCTTTGTTTTTTGGCTGTTCGATTTAGTACACTCACTAAGGGATGTCTGACAAAGTTTCCAAGTTCAATGCGAAAAGAAGTGGGTGAAAGAAAGAGGAAGAATTATGAGACATCAGAGAGAGCTATGGTATTTAGAAGGATTTTGCAGAAGACATGGGAAAAAGAAAGAAAATGTAAAAGTTGAGGTAGAGAATTTAACGTACATACAAAAAGTTAAGAAAGTCAGAGATGATAAAAGAAAAAAGAACACATTAAAACACTGCAGAATTAAATATAACATGTTTGGGCTCTCTAGACAATCTGTTTTTGTTATTTATGGTAACTAGGCATTGTAGACAGACGTCCCTTTTATTATTTTTATAAATATTAAACTAAATTAAAAAAACTATCATAAAAAGGCCGGCAGTGTAATAAAACCAAGAACAATATGATGATAGTAAATTCAAAGGTTTCTTTAAAAAGTCAACAATAGAAAACTATTTGACAATATGTTACAAATAAACACAGTATTATGATATAGGTCATCAAGTGCCAACAATGCCCCTCTGTCACATATATTGGCCAAACTGGACAGTCTCTGTTACAAAGGATAAATGGACACAAATCAAATATCTAGAATGGTAACTAACAGACATAAACCTGTAGGACCATGTTGTCCAACACACTAGCCACATGTTGCTATTTGGCTGGTTGAGTGTGGTTAGTTTGCAATAACAGTAGCCAAATGGCTACTGCTTCAGAACTGGTTGGACACCACAGCTGTAGGGGAACATTTTAACTTCCCTGGACATTCAATAATGGATTTAAAAGTAGCCCATTCTTCTACAAAGAAATTTTATCACTCAATTACAGAATCCATTTACAAGTTTGACACTATCAACTTGGGCTTGAATAAAGATATTAACTGGTTAACACACTACAAAAGCAATTTTCCTTGCCTTTGATTTTTGCATTTCCCCATCAAATGCTATGGATTGGACACATCAGCCTGACTTAATTAGCTTCATTAACACTGGTCCTACAATTGACAGGAAACTGCTTTTGCTGTTAATATACCCTGAATTCTGTAATTTCCACTACAACTCATCTGATGAAGTGGGTTCTACCTAATATATTTGTTGTTCTCTAAGGATAGTTCACAACCATTTCATTATTTAAAATATCAGGTCCATAGTTCTGAGGGGTGTGGTAACAGGTTTTTAGCTCAGTCCCCAAATTATCTGGTATTAGGAAAAGTTTTTTTCCCCCAAGTACCAAATAAATACACACACTAACCAGTACTCGTGCTTCAGCCAGCCAGGGTCAGGAAGAAGCTTCATCCAATGCTACAGTATTGCACAATTAATATTTAGCACCTTCTCTTCAAGCGTCTGGTATCAAGTGTCACCAGAGAGATGGATGATAGGACCAACTGCCTCTTCTGATATATTTTCCTGACTCTACATTGCTTAACTTGCGACAAAGCGAAAACTGGCTTGGAATGAACAAAGCAAGTAATTTATACCCAAAGAGCTTTAGTAATAACGTAAGAAAAAATTGTGAAAGGTAACTGGGTATGTGTGGAACTACTCTTAATTATAACTGTATTCCTTGGTATGTGAGCCCCTGCTAAGTTTGCTAAGTACAGTCAGTAGCTAAATTCTTGGCACATATACCCTGCCATTCTAGTTACTAAGTATATTTCAGCACATACACTAGTGAATAACTGCACATGTAGAGTATTTTAGACTACTTTGCTGCCCCTAATCTGGAGACTCCCACTCCAACCTCATAATGTAAGTGAATTTTAGGTATTTATCTTTGATATACTAACTATTCATGTTATAATAAATGTGTAAGTTAATAAAAATAATTAAATATAAACAAACCCCATAATAATATGGGAATGGCGTGAAAGTATGTATCTATTTAAAGGGAAACTTCAAGTACCTACTCTCATTCTTCAAGTACCTGTTACTTTTCAACTAGCACATTATCTACGGACATACTGCCCATTCTTGTGCACACAAATACACATGTATATCAAACCTTACCTTAAAGCAGACCAAGTGTGCATAAGAACATTACAACAGTAATTTCCTCTAACTATACAGAAGAATGAAATACAATCTTCTTATAGAAATATTGACCAACACACCAGAAATTTGAGACTATTTTGCTTTAATTAATAAAGAATACGCATATTATGTGCTAATACACAATCTATGGATTTGGAAGAATTTCAAAAGAGGTGGGTAAGCATTAGCACCCCCATTTTACAGATGACCAAAGAGATACCCAGAGATTAAATGACTTGTACACTGAGTGAACCACAAAGGTGGGAACAGAACCCAAATCTCTCACCTGCTGTACATCCTGATAAGTCAAGGCAGCACTGGATTTAATACTTTTGACTACAGGAGTCAAAATTCTTCTTATTTACCCCAAGACAGTGGCAATTAATCCATTAGAATCCACAAAACTATAAGTAGTCTGAGAAATAAGAACTAACAAAGACCACTGGGGAATATGCTTTTGATACAAACCCTCAAACAATTGTTTGTTAACTTAACACTTGAAATGTCTGTGTCTATATCTTAATGTAAGCAGCATGAAATATCACAGGTATCATTAAACAGCTAGTATGACCATTACACTGTCAACAAAATGTATGCATCCCACAACTTTGTTACAAAAAGAAGGTCCTATCTGTGATTTATAGACAACCATCCAGGGCATTTTCCATAATCATTAATGAATTGCAAGATATACAAGTGTTAGAGATATACTGTATAAGTACACTGCGTATTCAGAAGGGTTAAGGCAGGCCAGCAGTATACTGACAGCAAAATAAAAATGTTATATTAATCCTTTTGTGTAAAGTGTCAGAAATTTCAGCTGTAGTTTGGTGCCAGTAATGGATAGAAACTGCTGGCTCCAGGGAATTACAATGAGTATAAGGAATAACCATTAGAACAGCAGGTAGCTGTTCAAAGATTTAAACTAAGCCCTCTCTTTACTCTTTGTTTGCCCATTATACTAAGCAAGTAGGAGCAAAGAAAACCCATGTGAGTGCTTCACACCAGAGCAAGAGAATTCAGACATTATCATGGAATGCTGACTAGACCAGCCAGTTAACAAGGCTTAGTGACTGAGAAAGAAGTCCAAGGTTGGACTGTTATAGGAAATGCTACTAAGAACAAAAATGTGGATTGGGTGGTAGCCTTTAGATTGCAGGACAGGAAACATTTTGTTAAATCAAAATGAGTGGCATTAGAAGAAACTTCAACTGGGAAGAAAAGAAGGCAAGGCAAAAATAGTTTCAAAATATACGCAACCCCATATCAAGGCAACACAGTGCCAGAGCATGAATGCATGCAGAAAAGGTAAGTAACAGGCTAAAGATGTTTCCTTTCTGCAAGGGAAAAAAACTGCCTGTCAAACTGGTTTTCCTCTAAGCTTTCCAATTATAAAAGCCTCCTGCATAGAACATATTCACTGTTGTACAACTGTCCCAGAAAAAACCCCCCACAAATCATGGGGAGAAAGTGGTCCACTTTCTTTAGCCTCTCGGAATCACATATACAGGACATACTTTCAAAGGTTAAATTTATTAAAATGTAGATCATCATGCTGTGGCTTTTATAATATGAAACTGTCATTTTCACTCAAAGTGCGTAAAACTTACTGTTTTGCATATAGCACTCTAGACTCATAAAACTTTATTTCCATCACTTACCTGAAAAACAACGAAGTAAGTGAAAGTGTTTGGCATCTAAAAGGATGCTATTTTACTATAATAACAAAGTTGAAATATGAGGAAATGCTCCATCAGAAAAACAAAAAAGTCCATAATTTTCCATTTAAATTGCAATTATCCCATTAGTCTATCAAACCAAATCATAATTTTCAGGAACATATGAGCATTCTAGTAAATACAAATATAAATATTATTATGTAGTTCCCAGCCTGGCCCCTGGGGCAATCTTCTCTATCATCTTCTACGTTAGCTCCCAAAAACATCTCGAAGTGATAATTCTTCACCACATGTTGAAAATGTTGTGACTAATGATACACTGACTAACCATTTTTCCATCACTAAAATGATTTCAAAATAGAGAACTTGACAAACAGTGGTTAAATTCAATTTCTTTGAAATTAAGTCAGTAAAGCCAAATTTAATCCACAATAAAATAAAGCTTGCCATAAGAAGTTAACGTATTGTATTTAACTCTTGCAAGAATAGTTATGATATACGTTAAGATAACTAAACAAAAATTCTGTATACGTGGGAAAAATATCTAGTCACTGTAATCTTCTTTTGTAAAATTACACAATCATTTTTGTCTCACTATTTTTTAAATCATCTTGTTCTTTCTTTCAGTTACTGTTCTCTTCCTACTCCCGCCCAATCCTGCCTTTGGAAAAAGTCCTTTTAAAATAGATAATTTAGCAAAAATAGAACTATACAGAGAAAAAATTTGAATATGTAATAACTATTTTGTCAAGAGAAAGAACTAGGAGCTAGACCCATACTAAATTAAATGTATAAAAAACAGTACAAGTGCGGCAATTAAAATGCATGCAAGAACTTTGACACAGGTGCCTGCAATAGCACTGTTTGCAAAACGTTTCCTAATTAGCATATCTTTAAACAATGCTGATAATAATCTTGTTCCTGTAATCCATGTGGAATGAATCACTGAGATTGTAAAATAGAAAGCATGTGGAAATTCATTAAAAGTCTCTGTTGTACCTTTCTTTGTTTATATTTTCCTTGTCAGGTGCAAAAAAATAAAATATCGTTCTACATATTTGGATTTCTTCAAAGTGTTCAGTTACACATTTTAGCACAGGCTCTTTCATGGTGCATTAAGTATCAAGAAAAAAATGTTATCAAAGAGAGAAATCCTCCCACTATTACAGTCTTGAAAATCTGCTCTATTCTCTATTTGTCATCTGGGATTGAGTTATCAGACACTACTTGTATTACTTTTTTGAAACTGACATGTCTATTTGCAGAGCTACAAAGGCAATCCAGTACAACAAGCCCTTATTTTACAAACACCTTCCAAAAGATCTCTTCTCTCCTCCCTATTTTTTATAAATACTTTGTCTTTTTCAATGGGGTGGAAGAGGTTATACACATTAGTTTTTCACCTTGACAGAAAACAATTTCCGTCACTTTTGCACTTGTTACAAGTATATTAAAAATTACCTACATCTCCAAAGAGGAGAGACATTGTTTTGCGGGGTTTGTTTGTTTGTTTGTTTTTTTTAAATAGGGTCACTTCCCCCATTTCAGCTTGCAATTAAAATGGAGGCAAGGCCAGGCGATCTGTGTCTGGCTTTAGGGGGAGACAATAACCCAAAACAGGCCTGGCTTTAAAAGAGAGAGAGCGAGAAAGAAAGAAATACAACATGCTTCACCAGTATTATTACCTCATCCCTTTTTCCAAGCAGTTTTGAGCCACACTCTTGACAAACTCTTGGTCCAACTTGCACAGATGCTGATTTTTGGGGGGTGGAAAGCTTTTTGATTCTGGAGCCAGAATTCAGGCTTGTTATTTGCAAGTGAAGCTGCTGTTAAAATGCCCCCTTGTCTCCTCTCCTCTCCCTTGAGCTGGGTGTTGACGCAGCAGAAATTACCAGCTGGAAAATTCCCCTTTTGGAGGTTACAGGGAGGGGGGAGAGGGAGGGGAAGAGTCATGGGGGCGGGGGGTTAAACCCTGCCACTCACCTAGTTATCCCATCCACCCACACCTAGTAAAATCACGCGTGCCAAAGGGGGCTCTATGCCCCTCCACAAAGGGGAATGGACCCCCTTGCCCCCCCCCCCCCACTGTAGTGGGTTTTGCCCAAGGACCCCCAGGGGGCTCTCAGAGGTTCAGAGCTAGAGAAGGGTGTTTTCAGGGCAGGAGAGACATTGAGGCTCAGAAAAG